GTCGGTGCCGGCTACTACACGGCACTGACGATGGCGGTGTTTGCCGACCTGGGCTACTACCACGTGAACTGGAGCATGGCGGAGCCGATGGCGTGGGGCAATAACACCGGCTGCGACTTCCTGACGAAGAGGTGCAAGGACACACACGACCTCGCCAAGAAGTATCCTCACATGTTCTGCGATGAGAAAGACAACACGACGCTTCGCTGCTCTTCTGATCGTCGTCGCGTCGGGACGTGCACCGCATACGTCGTTGATGCGCAGGGGAGTGTGAGCGAGAAGGACGTGTGCCCCGTCATTTCGGCAAAACTTTACGACGAGTCGTCTCAGAAACTATCCAATGCATGTGTGGAGGCAAGTGAGCAGACCCTTCCAGGGTCGCTGATTGGGAGTGGCTCGTGGTGCCTGGACGCGGAGGCGCTGCAGGTGAAGAAGGATGGCAGCGGTAAGAAAATCGAAGGAGCGTGTGCGCAGGTGAAGTGTGAGGGTGGCGCAGTGAAGGTGAAGTACCTCGGCGCCAATGAGTTTGTGCTGTGCCCCGAGGGAGGTGCAATCTCAGTGGCGGAGTCTGAGAATTTCAACGCAGGCGGGAAACTCAAGTGCCCGAAGTACACCGAAGTGTGCACCATCGCCGCCGACGGCAGCAGCCTCGTCATTCCGAGCGTTTTGCAGGATGTGGAGGAGGATCAAGGGAGAAGGGAGCAAAAGGGGCAGAAGGAGGAGGAGGTTCAGCCACCAGAGTCACTTTCGGCAGTATCGCCTCCTGATGTCTCTCCTCCTGCAGAGTCACCTCTTGGGGCTGCGGTTGATGTTGATGGTGGCGGCGTTCCTTCCACTCCGAAGGTTGAGGCGGGGGCGGTTGGGCTCGACACCGAGGCAGCTGCTGAGCCTGAAGAGGGAGCGGAAGGGCCGGACGGTGCCGTTGCTCCCGCTCACCCCGCTGCTGCCTCGCCCCCGTCCGGTGGTACCTCTTCCTCACCGGGCGAGGCCGCTGCTCCACAAGAGAGCGACTCGGACACGGCGGGCACTACCGCGACGCCCAAAACTACAGCGCTCGCGACGTCGCCCACCTCGACACCGACGGCATCCGCCAACAGCAGCGATTTCCGGAAGAAACTGGAGGAGGTGGTGCAACGCGTTGGAAGCGACGCCAGTGTGGCTGCTGCGGCTGTTGGTTTGAGTCGCTTTGCGTTTCTTGCTGTGACCGCCGCCGTGGCGGTGCTGCCGCTTTAAGCAGCTGCCGTGATTTGGGGCAGGCGCCGCACGTCTGGGCTCAACAAACGTGCGACGTGTCCCCATGCAACCCCACACTCAGGATGCGTAAAGCATCACTAATATTCTACACCCCCCCCCCCCCCACTACCCCCCACTAATTTCTTTGTTTTTTTTCAAGGACGGACACTAACGATTCTTGCTTTGCTTTGCCCACCACTCGTGGTAAAAACCTGTATTTGTGTGTTGAGTGGATTTAATTTTTGTGAAAAATGTGTAGAAAAAAACAGCTACCTTGAGCGGAAGGGACTGGCTCCAGCATTGCATGTACGCATGCGTCTGCTGATGCGGGCAGGACGAGGGGAGCTCACTCTGCTCTGATCGGGGCGGGGGCAGGTCTCTCTGCCTGTTCCGCTGAAAGACAGGGGCGACTGCATTCAATGCCGCATTTATTACACATGGGCTTCTTTGTTTTCTTTTGTTTCTTTTTGTTTGCAATAACTGTGCGTGAAATGGAGAAGATGGTTGTGGTGGGATAATTTTTTTTTCCGTTTTTGTTTTGTTTTTGTTTTGGCTTGCATTGCATAATTTTATTATTATTATTATTATTATTTGGTGTTTTTAGGTCTGCTGGTTTGGGGAGCCCGGGCGTGCTGCTGCGCTGAGGAAATGTGTGGCGCTGCCTTTTTCGTCCCTTTTTTGTATTGCGTTCTTCTTTTCTTATTCTGCAGAGAAGGCATTTGCCGCTGCTACTAATGCGGTTGTCCCCAACAAACGAAGGCGGTGCGGGCAGTTTCTTCAGGCGGTGCGGGCAATTTTATCAAGTCATGCGCCGGCCACGCTACCTCGCCCCGTGTTTTCCACTGGCGCTGCTCCTGCTGCTGTTGGCGGTGCAGTGTGCCGGTGGGTGTCTTGCCGTCGCAGCTCCCGCCCTAGAGGAACGCGGCAGGTTCGACGAGCTGTTGTGGAAGAGCGGCCGGTC